CACACACACACACACCCACACACACACACACACCTGCAGCATTTAACTCCAAATCGAGGTGCACTGAGCGCTTCCCAACAGCAGAGGGCGCTCCGTTTACACTAAGCAGGCGGCTCAGAAACTAATTATAATTCTGACATGCTCAAGAGCACTTCAGCAGAGAATGTATTCAGTCCTTTTAATGTACTGTATCATCATTCAGAAACACAGGGAGGACACCGGGTTATTCAAAATGTACCATTACTATCATATATAGGAGAAATATGATAGCGGCTAAGCTAACTCCTCCTCAGGGCTGGGAGCTTTCAAAATGTATTCAATTACAATTACTAGTTACCTGTGAACATGTTTTAATCAGTGACCTAATCCAAGTCATCTAGTGAGTAATACCCAATTGTTTTAGAAATGTAACAGTAATCTGATTATGGCTTTTACAGTAACCTCTCCTTTGTATCCATTACGTTATCCATCACTCCCCTAATGGAGGAGTAATGGATAACTCCTACATTACTGCTTCTCCTAAATAACAGTGTTCTGTTTTCCTACATAATACACTTCAGTAAAAACATCTTATTTATTGTCTCTACAAAAGTATCGGATGTTCTCAGGTGACATTACTTTACTGATTTGATACTGAAAGGTTACTGATTACATTTCTAACTGTACATAATACATTTCTGAACCTGCACCCTGACCGTTAGACTGAAGATGGATAGACTTGGATGTGTACAATTGGAGGTGATACCCTTTAAAATAAAAAGGGAACCGATATAAGACATTTTAAAAGATGCACACTCCGTAACTTTGCTTTGTTCTCTCAGTTTATTATAGTGAAATACAAGGAAAGGAGAAGAAATACAGAGATAGAGACGGAGATTAAACGGAAAGAAGGACGGAGGCAAAGACAGTGATCAAGATATCACCAAGTCAGACTTTTGGAAATATATTCTGTCTGTGTGTGTGTGTGTGTATGTGTGTGTGTGTGTGTGTGTGTGTGTGTGTGTGTGTGTGTGTGTGTGTGTGTGTGTGTGTGTGTGTGTGTGTGTGTCATTGAGATGCTTTCTCTGATCTTCCGCATGCATCTGAATGACATTCCGTCCTCGTGTTTACAGCCTGTTTTATCTTGTTATGCGTCCTATAAACACACTCTCTTATCGAATCTCATTATCATCTGACACACTAACACACACACACACACACACACACTAACACACACACACACACACACACACACACACACAGACACAGACACACACACACAGACACAGACACACACACACACACACACACACACACACACACACACACACAGACACACACACACACACACACACACAGACACAGACACACACACACACACACACACTTCATCACCACTAACAGTGCTATAAGAAAGCGGGGGATATTCACTGGGGCTTTAAATGCTGGATTCATTCTCATTAAAGGATTGTCATTGGCACATTTCATTTGTTTTTCATTCACAATGCAATATTTCATTTCATCACTGTCATTTATGTTTGTTGATCTGCACAAATGAGGAGACAAATGTGTTTTGTGATATTGGGCTATTGATGAATTTGATTGTGAAGATTGGTCAATGCTCCAAGAGATAAACAGTGGGGCTGTAACTATATTTAGAGTGTCGGAAAAAGTACTCAGATCCTCCTCCTATCCTAAAAGTAGTTATAACACCGTCTGAAAATACTTAATTTCAAGTAAAAGTCGTGATTTCAAAATGTTATTTTAGTAAAAGTATAGAAGTTTTATAAGCAAAATGCACTTACGTATCCAAAATGAAAGTACTAAGCATGCAGAATAAACTTACAAATACATGTAACAGTATTTTAATGTTGTAGTTTGCCAATGTTGTATATAAAAAGTAACTATAACTGCAAGTAGGGCTGTGCAATTAATCGTATTTTAATCGCAATTACGATTTTGGCCTGCCACAATTACGAAAACAACATAATCGAAAAAAACGATTATTTTGCTTTGCTAGGTTGTGACAGTGCACTTCAACATATTTGATCAAATGCATTTGTATTTATCATATTTACATATGTTTAGTAGTTTGTTGAAGTGCGCTCCAAAAAATGTGTTGATCTTGTTTATTGGTATTTATTATTATTTGATATTAAAAAATATAAATGTATCATTTATTTAATTAATTTTTGTATTGGTTTTTCAGTTGAATTATACGTTCAGGGTAATCAACAGTTAAAAAGATACTGTTCAAATTATTATTTGTATTTGTTTTAAAGTTCAATAAATGGATGTTTTCAAAGTCAATGAATAATCGTGATATCAATTATTGACCAAAATAATCGTGATTATGATTTTTGCCATAATCGCACAGCCCTAACTGCAAGTGTAAACTAGTTATAGCGCAGTAGAAGTAGAATGTAGCATAACATGTTAATACTCAAAGTAAGTGTATTGAGTCCAGCACTTGAGTACATGTACCTGAGTGTATACCTTTATCATTTCAGAATCAAGTGTATTGCCAGGTACGTGTACACATACAAGGAATTTGCTTTGGCATGAACATTTGGTGTGAACATAAACAATCTGAAAAAATAAGTTGCAAAGTAGGTAAAACAAAATAACAAAGAAATATATAAGGATAATACAAAATAAGTATTTTTAAGAAAACAATTTAGCATTAAAAAAAGGATGCTAAAGACCCCCAAATTTAAATATTGAATATTATACAAATAACCGTAAAAGCTAAAAAACAAAAAAACAACAAAAGCACTTATGAAAATGAGTATACGGCAAACTAGTGTATACACATGTGCAAAAAGCAGTCAGAGAGTTGAGCTTGAACATGACTCACAGTATTAAGAAAGACAACCAGAACAAGATGTTGTTCACATGATGTTCATTTATGTAAAGCATAATGTTTTGGGGTGGATAAGAAGTCAGTGTGCCGGGAAGAAATGTCCTGAATGGAGCAGTTATAATGTAATATCACGTCTTAAGGTTACCTCCACTGCAGAAATGATGTAAAAAGTGTTTCCCTCCCATTATTTGGCTCCAGGGATGTGTCCTTAGCATCAGTAGACGAGCGCTCCAGTAAAATATGACGTTTAATGGCATTAAAATACACGTAGAGGGCTTAGTGAAGCGCTGCTGCTGACCTTTAAAATACTCTTTATAATACTCTGTGCCGAGGCAGAGCTCATTACTGACGGCTGGAAATGTCACAGAGAAGTCCAGCTCATCATGTTCCAGGAGATGTGGAGAAACAGAGAAAGTGCTGCTGGCCGAGAGCAAAGCTGTATTAAGACCTTTAAAAAAAAATGTGCAGTTTTACACCGATTTAACTTGACGGTAATGTACATTTCTCTTCAGTTTATGTTCCTTGACTTTCAGAGCCAAAACGCGTGTTAATACGACGTTTCCTTTCAAAATCAAGACCAATTTCAGCTGCTCCATTACAGCCACATGTTGCATCAGCGTGGTATCGAACACATGCACAAGAACATTGTTCATTAACTCAAATATCTTAAAACAAAACTGGATGTCAAAAGTTGAATTCAGCAGATTTGAGGCATTTCTTTCCCTTATTTTGATGGTTTGTATAAAACAGTAAAGCCATCAACAGTTAGCACTCCTAAAGACAGTTGTAACACAATTCATCTTGACTGTCTTCTGTGATTAGATTAACTCTGCAGCACGTATTCTGATCAATTATATTCCTTAATATCACATTTTGAAGTATCAAGTAATCAAGTTGTATTGTCATGACATAATTAAAACCTTATATCATGACAAAGCCACCGTGCCAAAGCAGTGACAGTAGGCTTAAGATTGATAAATGGCATGTTATTAAACATACACGTCCCAATGTGTGTGAAGCAAAATGGTGCCATTGATTACATCTACTGCCAACATAAATGTAATATTGTTATTAATGGCTGCTGCTGTTTAGCACTACTTTCTACATTACATTACATGTCACTTGTTAGACTTACATACTCAATACTGTGGACAATCCCCACAGGAGCACTTTGGGGTGAAGTGTCTCAGGGACACAACGACATGCTGACTGCAGTGGGGTTTGAACCTGGGACCCCCTGATCCGCACACCAACGCACTATTCCACTGCGCCACACTTTCTACTCTATATTACTTAAGCATCACTGCTATAAATGATTACTGTCTGCTAACTACTTCAAGACATTTACTTCGCTAATGCTGCTATTGTCTTTTCCACCTTGCATTTGTACTTATTTTATTTCACTTTATTAAATGCTTGCCTATTTATTTACTCGTTTATGCACTGCTATCTTTGCTGTGACACTGTACATATCCCCACTGTGGGACAAAAAAAAAAATGTCTTCTGGATATTATACAACTGTTCTATTCACCGATAGTTATACACCTTTTTCCAAATACATATTTATTGCTTTGCTGATGTTCCACGCAAAAAACCAATAACCCCATCCGTCCTAAATCTCAGGAGCTGGAACTCATTTTATAGAAACTTCGTCTACCAACAGGCTCAGTTTCCACCAGTGTTAACAGTTGTTGCTTCTCCATGTTGAGTGGTCCTTCTGAAACTCTCTTCCCAGTCACATCCGAAAGGCCAACACTCTTCTTGAATCCTTCAAACAATCTCTCAAAACGCATTTATTCCCTCTAGCTAGAGTCTGAAAGCTGGAGTGAATAAGTGAGTTTTGAGAGATCCCCACTTTACTGGAACTTGGATTAGGACTACTGTTTACGTTTTGTGTTTCTTTGTACTGTTTCTGATTTCATGGAAAGCTTCTTTGAGCACTAGGGAAAGCACTATATAAATCCCATGTATTATTAACCCAGTTTGCTTCGATTCGCTTGCAGGAGAAAAACATGTTTGAGTCTTATTTCAGTTTTCATCACTGAACAAGTGTCAGGCCTTCACCTACAAAATGTCCCTCAAAGACACACCTATGTAAAGCGTCTTTGAGCACTAGGAAAAGCGCTATGAAAATGAAATGTATTATAGGAAACTTACTGCGACACTTGGCACAGCGGCTCTTGTCGTACTCGTGCAGGTCGAGGGTCCGACTCCTCCGCTGCCCCCCCCCCCTCCCTCAGCCGAGCCGCCTCCTCTTTAGCGTAAACCCCGAGCTCCTGGGTGTAGCGCCCATACATCTGGAAACAGAGGAACATCATCAGCATACAGTAGAGAACACACACACACACACACACACACACACACACACACACACACACACACACACACACACACACACACACACACACACACACACACACACACACACACACACACACACACACACACACACACACACACACACACACACACACACACACACACACACACACACACACACACACACACCACACACACACACACACACACACACACACACACACACACACACACACACACACACACACACACACACACACACACACACACACACACACACTTCCCCAAAAGGAGCGTTTTATTAGATTTGTATATTCTCGTGGATCCCCATTAATCAACCGTCACAAAAAACCCCGAACTCCTGGGTTCATGGAGGAACATCATCATCAGCGTACAGTAGATTCCAGTTTCAAGGCTTTTATTGTCATGTGCTCATAGCTACAGTGTAGATATGTCAATGAAAATCTGAGGTCACAGACTCCTCCAACAGAGCAACACAATACAACAGATACAAGTGTTAAAATAGTAATTGGGATATGATATATTAGATACATAATTTGTAAGTTGCAGACAGATGAATGTTTATGGATGTTCTTTCAAAAGTCCAGGTGTTTAACAGTCTTATGGCCTGTGGGATGAAACTGACCCTGAGTCTGCTGGGTTTAGTCCTGATTGAACACATATTCTACCAACAAGCAGCGACAGAAGAACAGCATTGTATTTCTTTCATTCCCCCAAAGGATTATTTTATTGATTTGACATTTAGTTTATTTGTTTATATTGTCGTGGACAGACGGAGGAACATCATCAGCGTACAGTAGTGAATGAACACACACACACTGTACACAATACCTGTTTGTTTTTTTATTACTGCACATATTTTACATTCTAATTCAATGTCAATTCTGCTATATTTTACTATATTTTGTTATGTTATTATAGTTATATATACGACACCAAGTCAAATTCCTCGTACGTGTCAACCTGCCTGGTGATAAACCCGTTTGTGATTCTATCAACGAGCGGCGACAGAAGAACAGTATTTTATTTCTTTCCCCCAGACGTGCATTTTATTGATTTGACATTTAACAACCATATTGCTGGTTCTGCATCTTCTCCACTCATCAAATAGCCTGGGGGGGGGGGGGTATAGAGACTGGTATGGAAGAAGTGGGGGAAATAAATCAATACTTGACTTGACTGATAATGCAATTGCGATATTGGAGGGGTTGTTTTTTTTTAATCATGATTCTCAAAAGTAGAATAAATGATGTTGGTGTATGTTACGTCTCGGCTCGTGGAAAGTGGAAAGTAACATATAACCAGTTGAATTTGGTAAATAGGAAGTTGTTTAATGAAAGCGTGCACTAAAATTGGCAACAAACAGCCACAATCAAAACAAATGGCCGCAAAGGCACTGGTTTAAATAAACAACAGAAGGAACTAAGGTAGACTCTTTAAATCAGAGTTGGGCTAACAACAAACAGGCTGTTATAAAACACAGCCTGGAGACAAATTAACCACAGTTAACTTTGTTCCTTAAAGGGGACCTATCATGCAAAATGCACTTTTGTATGTCTTTTATACATGAATATGTGTCCCCGGTGTTCCAGGGAACACACACACACACACACACACACACACACACACACACACACACACACACACACACACACACACACACACACACACACACACACCACACACACACACACACACACACACACACACACACACACACACACACACACACACACACACACACACACACACACACACACACACACACACACACACACACACACACACACACACACACACAGCACACACACACACACACACACACACACACACACACACACACACCACACACACACACACACACACAACACACACACACACACACCACACACACACACTTTTTTTTTAAACAAACACATATAAAAGAAGTCTAGTCAGCAGCACAAGAGACAGGAAGGGCAGAGTTTTGCACCCCGCCCAGACACCAGCTCCCATCATGCACCTGGGTGTTGGACAGGAAAGAGGCACTAATGACTTTCCCCCTGTATGCCAGTCAAAACACAGCCAAGTATTTGAACCGCCTCAAAGGTCCATCGAGGTCATCGAGGCAGATTTCCAGTAGCATGAGACTAGCTGATGCACAACAGTTGGATAACAGTGACTAAAACAATCAAATATCGCAATACATGCAGCATGGGCAACATAAGGAGAAGAGAAGAAGTACTTTGTCGATCACAATTTGGAAAACAAGGGATTGCGGGTAAAACGTTGATCATCTGAATCGACATATATACATATTTGGATTGTTAAATGTATTTACATAAGTGTGCATTGGTGGGGTTGGTGTCAACGATAATGCAACCCAAATAAAAATGAGTAATGACAATAGGGAATACTATTTAATGTGTTAAAGAAACTATTATCTCTGTGTTTCATCTGATATCCACAACTAAAAAGAGAAGTTTAAAGAAAAACTTTATTCATCCAGAACATTAACACTGCATAAATGTGCACGGTAATCCTTCCAACAGTGAGAGTTTTCTGTCTAAAAGTGGTGGACCAATTATCATCCCATTAGCAGTGCTTCAAAGGGGGTCAATATCTGGAACCTGTGGTGAAGAATAAGTGTGTAGTTGTGTTTCAAGAGAGGCTCTTCTGCAGAAAAGTATACTGTGCCGTCACCAAAATAAGTTATAATCGTGTCATTTGATTTTCTTATTTGAGAAAGTCCTGGAGAAAGTGATGTACTTTGGTCTAAAAATTGAAAAACAGGGTTAAGTTGCTTAATTATGACTAATATTCATACACTTCTGATCTCTCAGAACTAACAGACATGACGCAATCTAAAAATAACTTAAAAAGGGAACACTGGGTTGCATGGTATAAACAATCACAGCGTTTCAACCTCTATATTCTTCCGGTTAAATCTAAAAATACTGGTATGACCTTGCAATGCAATGTGTGTCCAAGGTTTCTCTTTGTACATTAAGACAGGTTTAGTTGTGTTTACACAGCAAAGCAGAAGGTACACTGCTATCTCTGTTTCAATAACCAAATGTCCAGATTCACTTCAGCATGTCAGAAAGAAAACAGACTCTAGAAGCCGCAACACTTTTCTTGGAACGTGGCCCCTACGGTCTGTCGGAAGAAAGTGTTTGGATAACACACACACACACACACGGGCAAACGCACCCACACACACACGCACATGCAATACTAAAGTGTGAAGGATGACAGAGAGCCACCTTGCAAACGCCGTCTGCCATGCAAACAAACAGGAGGTTTACTGGCTATTTTTAGCACCAACAACACTTGTAAAAGTTTGTGAGCATCGTAAAGCTCACTAAATCACTGCTTCTCTAACTGGGGTCAATGATCTAGGAGTCAAATTATCAGTCAAAACAAAGGATAGAGGTAATTTATCTGAATGAAGGGCAGGTACCCATCCCAACCACGCTGTGTAAAGGTCGACTGATGCTGTTTCCGGGCTCTGAAACCCTGTCTTGTGCAAGTCCTTTCCAAAATCTTTGCCAATTGTGACACTTCGGGTCAATGGAATGTCAGCAGTCTAATGGCGCATTTCCACTACACGGCCTCGCTCGGCCTCGCTCGGTATGGCTAGGCCTCGTTAGGACTGGCTCACTTTATGGCGCATTTCCATTACAGTTTAGGAACTGGGGTAGTATCTATAGTAACGCAGTGTAGGCGGAGCCGTGACGTCATCTTCAATGAGAACCTCAGAAAAACAACACAGCCGTTAGCTGTTAGCACTCAGAGCTCACAGCTCCTCATATCTGTTCAGAAACTAGACAAAAGTTAAACAAGTACAAACCACAGACTGCCTGTGTCATGGTGAATACAGTCGCTGCTTTATTTATGTCTGTATAGGCCGTTGTTGTGAGTGTGGACGGTCGGAGCATATACTGCGTTAGCTTAGCCAATCTCCATTTAGAAAACAAGCATTTTAAAAGGTTTTTTCGCCTGCCGTCTGTCTGCAGACTTGTCAAAGCATTAATTCATGGTTTTTACTAACCGGTATCAGTATGTTGTTACTTCGGCATCATTTTGAAACGTGTATTACAATTAAATCACGGTCAAATATGTCCATCTTGTTGTAGTTGTAGCCCCCTTGCCAGCGATGCTCTCTCTAGTTTAGCATACTCAGCCCGACTCAGCCTCGTTGTCTCTGGCCCTAGACCCGCGATTTTATGAGGCCAGAAAAACTGTGAATTAGGACCCGCCGGCCGGTACTAGGCCAAGTGGAAACGCAACCAAAGACGGGCCGCTGACGTCACAGCCCTCTTAAACCGTGCTCCGCGCTGTAGTGGAGACGCGCCATTAGTCACTGGTTTCAGCACTCGTGTGAAAAACAATGGTGACTTCATTTTATGGATCTGAACAAACACGACGGATCTATATCAGTGTTTGGAGATGTGTCTGAATCCCCCAGAGTTAGTAATAATAAGTTTACTATGACCGAATATTAGTAGACGTTTCAGAAGCAGATATATTGTCTTTATTGAACAAGACCCATGCAAATAAATACATTGATCTCAAAAAGAAAAGAGACACTCCATGCCATCTTGAGCTATTAGCTAATTTCCCAGATTTATAAAACATAAATACCAGCATAATTATCTACCACAATATTACTATTATTCCAACTAAAAACTCAAATGACGGTCAAGGTAATGCAGACTGGTTGCTTCATATTCATTTTGTTTGCACCGTGGGGGAAAGAGGGAAAGTCTTTGCCCGTTTTAAGCTCAGCTGAAATCATATTATAATGCTTGGTGGCCATTAATGAAAATACCATGGTCACCAAGTTGGATGTTTTAAGTTTAGCTGCTCAATGGCGGTGAAGCAGCCTTGTAAATGATCCTGATTAAAGATCCAAAAACAGAATGAGATTTTCAAGAGCTAACAACCATGTACACTTTACCCAACATTCGACCCT